AAGTGAATTACTCATTTTAATTACTTTAGATGTAAATTTAAATAGCCACCCAATTTTAGAGTTTCAGTCTCCCCCAGTATAAAACTGGAATAGTAATAAAATCTACTCTCTGGGGGACACTGGGAGGAGAAAATTAGATGATCCACATAGAGCTCTCAGCCTGGTTTTGGCACACGGTAAAATCAATTTTAGGAATGAGTCATTTTAATGCTCTTTTGAATCCTGGATCCTCCTGACAGTTGGATGAACACATAAGCCTTACACCAGACTATGCCCATCACAGACACTCTTGCACACACATCACATACACGCACTTCCCACAGTTGTACAGCCAAGTCAAGAGCACCTTTAGACTATGGCCGAGTCTGTCCGGGCTCTAAAATCTCTAGGACTATGAGCACATGTGGCCAGTGGGCTCAAGCTCAGCCAGCTCAGAAAACCCTTCTCAACACAGGTCCAAGTGCAGAAGCAGAGCTCTGGGAAAATCCTCATGCACGGAGGGCAGGCCCAGGACAAGGACCACAGGACAGATTCTATGAGCTCATCCCGGGCAGCCTCATCACAGAGTTCCCAGAGAGCCCAGTGGCGTCGGGAGGGGTTGCCTGGGTGGGAGGAGGCAGTGGTAGTAGTGGCGGCAGTGGCGGCAGCAAAGGGTGTGGGGCGAGGAGAGGGAGGCTGGCTAGAACTCGCTATAATAGCGGCTTTGTGCTCCGCTTCCCAGCTCCCTGGAAACGCCAGGAAGATTATGAAACCTGGTGTCTTTGGGAATGCCAGGATATTAGCTGGAAAAAGAATAATACGAAAATAAAATAATGCTCGGGATGGAGACAGTAGACGATTAGCAGACGGAGCCAGGGCCTCCTGCTCTGCAGAGGGAGCCAGGCTTGGCCCTTGCAGAAGGTTTCAGGGAAAGGCTGCCCGTGCTAATGAGCAGACAGGGCCTGCCTTCCAAAGAGACGTCTTCTAGAAGGGAATTGGCAAGTACAGCACAGCCTGCTGGTGGATGCATGGGCCAGGAAAGGGGTGGTAGGAGGCCATGGGTACCACAGGTCTGGTCCTGGGGCATAGATTTCTAAAAATGATCAATTCCTAGGAAGTCCACCTGGCCCCCACCCACAGCTCTTTGCTGCACTCATGCAAGAGTTGCCTCACAATATTCTCCAGGAAACTCTTCCTCGCTAGGCATCTATACTCAGAGATGACTTCAAAAATGCAGATTCTATTGGGTTCATGTGAACTCTCCTCCAAACCAGAGAGGAGTTCCCCATGGGCAGGCCTCCACCATCAGATAGGGGGAATTTTAGAAGGAAAGGTGGTTCTCCCTACCCCAAGGAGCCAGGAAAACATGTCCTCTCCCTTCCTCCCTCTCCAGAACCCTGGTCACATACCTTGGGCCAGGTATGGACATATCAGGTAGACACAGCTGCCTCTCTCAGAAAGGCATCTTGGGCCAGGTATAGACATATCTGTCCATATGATATGTCCAGCACCCTCATCCTCATGAGATATTCTGTATTCCACACCCAAAGATGGTCCTTGGACTAAAAGCATCAACATGCCCAGGGCTTGATAGAAATGGAAACTCGGGTCCCACCAAGATCTCTAGATGAAGAATCTACATTTTATCAAGCTCTCCAAATGGTCCCAATGCTCACTCAGCCTGAGAAACCCTTCTCTGCATATGCTATGTCATTTCATTCCAACAGTCACCCCAGTTACCTTTTATGATGAGGTAGCTCAAAGAGTAAAGGGACCTGTCCATAGTTAGTAAACAGAGAAAGCTTTATATAATTAAGCCAAATCCACCTGACTCAAAAGCCTCATTCATTACATAATGCTTTTGCCATATGAAACATCAAACAGCAGTGACCAGTGGACCAAGACCAGCACTTGGGATAGTAGCTGAGTCCTGCCATCCAGAAAATCCAACCATCTGCTCCACAATGCAGGGAGTACTTTAGCTAGGACTAAGACAATGGATGGCACTTAACAACAGCAAGAAGACAATGGAGGCGGAGTACTTGAGGGGAGCCCAAGCTGCCCTGTGTCCTGGCAGGTAATTGTGCGTGTGCTGGAGCTCAATTCACTCTGGTGCAGAATGATCCAGAGGGTTGCTTTCAAATGGCCTTATCCAAAGGCCCAACACTCCAGACAGCTTTCCAGCGCTTTATGGCCCTCCAACTCCAAGTTGGGGGAGAGGAGGTTCCAACCTCTCCAGGCAGTAGTTTCCCTCTGTTTTCTGTGTCAGCCAAGTCCCCAAAGGAGTATGTGTGTGTCCCTGCATACCAGACGTAGGTCACATATACATTACGACCAGGCACCTTCCCTTTCTGTGGAATTGACGTTTGACTTCCATGGCCCTTCAGGTTTTCTCCCACCTTACAGAATAAACCAGTTGGCTTCTCTGTTTCTGGGAAATGAATGCCCTCTTCCTTCCCCCACTCCAGTCACTGAGTCATGAGAGCTTGGCAGTGGGGTCCTCCAAGGCAGGCCAGCCCCAGAGTCAGTCCATGTTTCCGTCCTAGGCACCCCTGGCCCTCTCTCTCCAGCCCTGACGCTGGACCACCACGCCCGCCCAATAGCCTGCTCCAGGCCGCCTGGCAGGCAGCCGCAGATCTGTCTTCCTCACCCTGCACTTCACGGTGTGTCAGAATTGCCAGGGCCAAACGTGAACTCATCGCGGCCCCAAACCCGCTCCACCCTCATCCTGACCACGGGAACGGCACCACTGTCCACCCAGCGGAGCCTCTGAGGCCTCTATAAGTCCCCTCCCCAAGCCCTGCAGTTACATCTCCCTTCACTCCAGTCCCCCTGTTCCCACCCAGATGATCACCTCATACCTGGATTTCCACGCAACACTCCTGAATGAATGGTCTCCTAAGGGAGGTTCACCTCCTGCAACCATCCTCCACAACTACCTGATTAATGGTCCTCAAACCTAGCCCAGCTAGAACACTCCTGGGCAATGCTCACACGGGCCCGTTTGCTCACTGGTAAACACCTATGGTGCCATCTGTTACTCTGTGCCCCGCCTGGTAGGGCTGTCAATCACAGAGAAGGGCATGGCCCAGGAGGACCATCAGAACATGCACTCATCCTGCTCAAGCTTCAGGCTACGATGGCTGTTTTAAAGCAGCGTTCTCACCTCTGAGATTTCTAGCTATAATGGTGGGGTGGGCTGTGCTAGTGGGAAGGATGAGGTAAGCTTTTTCTAACAGTGGTCATCTATGCTACCACGTGGATCCACCTATTGAGAATGAAGCCAGCACAGAGCAGCAAGCCAGGTACAGTGCCCTGATGACACTGTGAATCCCTATTTCCAGGCGAGCTTTATGCCTGACTCCTCTCTAGGGCTTGCCTAGCTATGTAAGTCATCAAAAAACAACAACAACAACAAAACAAACCACTGCTGTGGCGTAGACTCCGACTCTGAGCAACTCCACACGTACCAAAGTAGAACTGCACTCCATCGTGTTTTCAGTGGCTGGTTTTATTGCAAGTAGATCACCAGGCCTTTCTTCCAAGATAAGGTGGATTCAAACCTCCAATCTTTCAGTTAACGACCAAGTGTACTCACCATTTGACATGTGAGTCCATAAACCCTCCCTCTCTCTTAAGACAGTTTGTGGTTTTGTCTGAGGCAAACGAGGTCTGATTACCCAGGGTATGTTTGTGTGCCCAGCCTTCTCAGTTCTGCCCTGACCCTGGGGCCTGCCTTGGCCCCTGACTCTACAGCTCTTTACACCCCCACTCCTCAGCTGCAGCCACATGGCCACACCAGCCCCAACCTGTGCCTTTCTGACTAAGACAGAAATCACAGAACACCAGCCGTGGCCCATGAGACTCCCTGACTGTGGCCAGCTCTGACCCAGACAGTGCCTCCATCCTGCCCTGCTCCCGTCAGGCCTGGGTCAGCTCAGCCCGCTCCCACCTCCACCCACAACAACTAAGAACAAGATTCTGGCCTTGGTTCCCTCCGAACACCTCTAGCATCTTCTGGCAGTGTCCTCTCCCATAGTGTCACCACTGGGCCTAGCCCACCCATCACGGCCTGAGAATGACAGAACATCCCAGCCCCTGCGCACACCCTCTCTGGCCACTGCCGGCCCAAATGCCCTTCCCTGTCCCCACCATAGCAGACACTGGACCAGCCCACTGTACTCCCTCTGCTCTTGTTACCGGGCCATCCCCCATATGGGTGCCCAGCCGACTCCAGGGCTAAGACCAAGGGCTCCTCTCCCTGATCAAATAAGTGTGGCCACACATAGATTCTTCAGCCAGTGCAGCTGGGGGTACCTGCTCCCTAAGATCACTGCCCAAGGTCCTCTCAGGGGCACCCAGCATTTCTGAGTCTGTTTAGAGGGGTGCCTCACCCAGGCCATCTCATTCCCACCTTCTGGAGCCCCCAAGTCAATGGAAGGAGAAAACAGGCTATGTCCAGGCCCTAAGTGTCCCCAGGAAGGGCCTGTCCATCTCTTTTTGGAGTTCACCACCCAAACTGTGAACAATCTCTCACCTTTATGTGGCTACAGAAAGTGTACACTAAGGCAGGACAGCCAGCCTGCGCTCTGGTTCTGAGCCACATCTCCCCTAGAATTTCTGAGGGTGTCCACGGAATGGCCTCGAGCCTAGAAGGACACATGTCCAACCAAGGATATTCAGCGGTCACTCTCTGGCTACTACCATGGCATCTCACCTCTTCAGGAAGAGCCAGGGTCCCTGAACAGGTCAGATGATCAGAGGACCCAGGCCCTCTCCTCCTTGTCCCATTTGACTACCCAAAACAGCACCAGGAAAGGTGCCGTTTGATTTCAGAAAGACACCAGACTAGTGCCCAGTACTCACAGGTAGCCCAAAGGAAGTGAAGCCAGGAGGACCCGCCAGTGTTTCTTCCCAAAACCCTAACCTGGGGATCCCTGTACCTCCCCCATATCAGCCCCAAAGAGCCCTGAGATGCCCAGAAACACCCACCCCACCCAGGATGGCACGGCTACACATACCAGAGCTCCCTCCAGGGCAAACACAGCTGCCGGCCCCGTCTTCTCCAGTGGCTCCATGCGGCGGCGCCAGCGGCGGCGGCGAAAGGCATCCGTCTTGCGGTACTCCAGGTGGAACTTCCAGCCAAAGAGTGAGGCATACTCCCAGCCCTCACCCTCCGCCTCTGCCTGCCGATGCTACATGGGGAGAACAGGAGATTCAGAGCTTTGTCTGGGGGACACAGGGAGTCCTGGACTCAGTTTCAGCTGTGCCCTTCCGGGGCCCATCCCACAATGCCCCACTAGGCTCCCAGGAAAACCTGGGAGGGCCTCCTGGAGGAGGGGGCTTTGAGCACTTTCTGCAGTGGCAAGAGACACAGGTCAGAAAAACAGAAGAGATGGCTCCCTGGGCTGTGGAGAGAAGTGAGGAACCAGAAAGGGAAGGTAGACAAGGTAGACTGGTGGAAACTGTGGAAACTGTTGGGGCTTCTGGGTTACTTGATTTGTGACTGCACTTCATGGATCTAAGGTTTTTTGGTCATTTCCTTTTCCTCCTTCACAACATGGCTTATAAAAATGAGCATGGGTCTACCAAAATGAAGGCCTCGTTTCCCAAACCCCAGTCTATTTCTCCCCAAGTAGGTTAGACCTAGGTCAGCTGTGGAGCAGTCTCTTGCATTTCCTCCCCGTGGTCAAGAAGCCCAGAGCTGGGACCTGCCTTGAGAGAGTCCAGTCTGCACAGACTAAGCCCTCCCTTATGGAGGCCCTGGTGACTTTAGGGGAGCATCTGAGGGATGCAGGGTGATGAGTGGGTGAGACCAAGTGAACCTTTTCCCAGCACCAGAGGGAGCCCTACCAGGTCTTGAGAGAATGGGGCCTGGGACTGTCCTCAGATACCATGAGCATGGTGACAAGTGCCAGTCCTGGAGGTAAGCTGGGTCCCTCTCCCAAGAAGAGGATGTCCCTCAGGGAGACAGCAGAGTCTGGCTGGTGTGTGCGCTTCCCTGGACCCAGCGATATGCCTCTCTAGATACTTATGTCCAGGGAGAGAAGCAGGGACCAGGGTCATGACAGAGGTACTCCTGGTCAGGAAGAGGCCTGGTTCTGGGTTCAAACTTCAAATGTGTGCCTGGGAAGGGAAGATATCAGTGGGGTGGGTCCAGAGGAGGCAGCATCTGGCCTGGTATAACCTCGGATGTCAAGTAGACCACAACCATTCTGCTCATGTCTGTGTCCTGGAGCACCTGTGCACAACTACATGCTCGTGTGCTCACACTGTGCACATGTCCTCTAGTAAACGCTCAAGGACCACCACCGCCCACCCCCCAAGCCTTCCTCCAGGCCAACACAGTCAGGAGACACCATCTCCAGCTACCATGAGTGTCTAACAGCTACAGAGCAATGCCCTTGACTGAAGAAGGGTGCCTCACAGGAAGGGCATGTGGCCCCATCTGCCACCCAGCAGCCCTCAGCCAATAATTGAGAGCGAAAGGGTGAAACACTCCAGCCCCACTGCTTCCAGTGGGCATGACTGAGTGGTGCTCTAGGGCCCTCCTCTTCCTGCCTGGAGATCAGGCCAATGTTGACTTTATCCCAGATCACAGCCTTGCAGGTTTCTCACTCCTTTCCTGGGTTCTACTGAAAGCAGCACTTTAATAAAATGCGTGGAGCCCTATCCCTGCCTCACATCAGCCTCCAGAGAACAAAATCATGTACGTCTGTGCCTTCCAAGTCCAGGTGAGAACTCTGCACATGGCCCCATCATGAGGTCCAGGGGTGTCAGTGTGCGCTGGGAGCAATCTGTGTGTGTCAGGTGTGATCCATGTGAGTGTGATGTACGAAGTAAGATCTGTGTGTGTTGGGTGTCATCTGAGTGTGAGTGTGTGCATGCACCAGATGTGACTGGAGTGTATGTGTCAAGGTGTAACCTGTGTGTGTGCCAGGTATGAACTGCATGCATCTAAAGTAAGTCACATATGCCTTGGTACATATGTGCAGATCTTTATGTGTCTGCATACACACAGGTCTGTACCTGTACCCAGCTGGCCTCCATGGCCAGAACCCTCCCCTGCCTACTCATCACCCACTGGGCTCACCCTCTTCAATGCTTCCATCTGACTGAGGTCCCTCCTGCGCAGGCGGACCCAGCGTCGCCGTCGGTGTGTGTAGTACATCTTCTCCGCAGGGACCCAGTGCCTCGGCTTCCGGTCCGGGGGAATGGTGATGCTGTACTCCCAGCCTGGGGGAGGGGTACCCATCACACACTGCCCCATAATCCCCTCATCTCCTGGGGGCCATTTGGGGCATGCTCACAGACTCTTAGGCCACCAACAGCCATGGTCTTAATTTATCACTTGAAGTGGGGGCTGCCTTCAGGAAATCCCAAGAAGTAGCCTAGTGAATGCCAGATCCCAATCCAAGGGCCCTTGTGTTCAGCCATCCCACCCCCAACAAGTCTGGAAAGCTCCCTAGCTGGGCTCGCAGGGCCTCATATGCCTGCCCACCTTGCTCATCCACAGCCCGATTAAGGTCTGTAGACCATTCTTCATCCTCCCACTTCCAGCCCAGTGGGCACTCAATATCATCCTTGGGAAGTACTTTCTCCCCGTTCTAGAAGCAAAACAAATCAGACAGACGTGAGTAGAGACAAACAAATGATACTAGAGAAACAGCAAAGACACAGCTAAATGAGGCACAGCCTCAGAGCTCCAGAAAGAAGGGCAGAGCTTCCTGGAGACCTCCACACCAGACCCCACACTGTTCCCTGTAAACCAGAGCTGGGCAGCTCAGGAGGAGGGAACTAGGAGAAACATCTGGGTCCTGCATCTGCAGGATGCCAGAAAGAGCCCCTTACCACATCGGTGTAGTTATCACTCATGTAGATCCACTGGCCCCCAGGGAGCCGGGTCTGGTTCTCAAACACTTCCTCCACAAAGCTCAGGTGACCCGCATCGGAGTCATAGAGCAAGCTGTAAAGGGCACCGTCAGAGAGTCAGAGACCTGCTCTGCTCACTGCCACCAGCCAGCACACCCCCCCCACCCCCCGCCGGGCTTGGAACAAGCTGCAGGCTTCAATCAGCCTCATCCTTCCCAGCAACCAGAGAGATGGAGGGGAGGGATTGAGGAGGTGCCGGGAGACAAGGGGAGAGAGAGACAGTGAAGGCAGTCTCAGATTGAAGAGAGAAAAAGCAAGATGAACTAGGGAACACGGAAGGTCAGGTAGGTAATTGAAGCTTAATAGAGACTCGTAAAAATGCAACATTCTATCAACCAGTATGTAGGCTTCAGATTTGAGAACTTGACTATAATATGTAAGTCCTACTTCAATTTTTCAAAAAAAAGTAAAATCAAAACAAAATAATTGTGGAAAGTCAAACAGGTACGAAGAGAGAAAGAAAGTAGACATAGCAGGGGCAGATGGCGAAAGAAGTTCTGAAAATATCACTGGGGAGGGAGGGGGGGATGTTGTGAGGAAGCAGGAACACAACATAAAGGGCTTCCTGATAGCTGATAGTTAGAGCTGTTGAAGGAAGGACAAACTGCCCAGTGAGCCCCAGCCCTGGGATAAATCAAGTAGACATTCCTGCCACCAGCAGGAGTTGCAAAAGCAGGCAGAGAGATACAAACAGCCTGTCTTTCAGGGAAAGGGGCAAGCAGAGTGGTGGCCACTAGGGGGCAGCCTGACTTGGCTGTCTCCAAGCCCTTCCTACCCACAACTTACGTCTTCTCGGGACACACGAACCAGTCTCCAGCCCAGGTCCAGCCAGTGGAAGGGCGGAAGCTGTCCTTGGGTAGCTTGATCTTGCCCGTAATATCAGAAAACTTAGGATAGGTGAGGCCTGTTGTGCCCCAGTTCCCAACCAGGGCCAGCTTGGTCTGATTCTCATACTTCAAAGCAAGAAAAACAGAAACTGAATCAGGGTCCTGGACAGCTGTGGGGAGGATGGGGAAGACGGAGGTGGACAGACCGGGTGGGTTGGCAAGCACTCACAGTTTCAGCAAAGACAGAGAGCTTCCCCTCAGCAAATTGGTTGAACTCCTTCTCATCCACAGACAGTCCGAACCAGAGCTTGACCCGTATCTGAACCGGCATCCGAGCTCTAGGCAGCCCCTCCATTGGATACTGGGACCAGAGAAGGGCAGAGATGCACAGCTCTTATTAGGATCACAATGTCCCTACCAGGGGACACCCTATCAGCTGTGAGCTCTCTTGGGGGACTCATCACAGTAGCATGGAAATGGAATGGATAATTAAGAAAGTTCCCACCTGCCATGTTTCCAGCCCACCATGAAAGAAAACTACATCATTCTCGTGGGGCCACATCTACATCAGGATCTCCCACCTCCCCTTCTCCACCATGCCCTCACTTCTGTCCTCTTCTAGAATAGTACTGTTCAAATAAACGTCTTGCTAGATTGGAAATGTTCTATATCCTTGTGGTACAATATGGCAGCCACTAGCCACCTGTGGCAACTGAACACTTGAAATGTCTCTAGTGTGATTGAGGAACTGAATTTTTATTTAACTTTAAGTAATTTAAACTTAAATGAACACATATGGCTACCATATTGGACAGCTAGTTCTAGAACTTGTCTCTAAAGGAAGTACAATGGTCCAGGTCTAGAATGAGAAGAAATTAAAGCTTTCCCGTCCATTTTCAGTATCTGAGGAGTGGGGCAGGATGTTAGTGTATCATCTAATATTTCTGTTCTCTCAAGTGGCTTATAAGCATGCTGGCTTCAACTGGTATTTATCCTGAAACTTTCAGAAGCTCTCTCCAAATGGAATGATCACTACAATACAACATTTTAAAAAAACTTATTCTCCACAATTACTTCACCGTTTGATTGAAACCAAAGATCAAATATGGCCTGAGGAGCCCTATTTCTCCCCCTAAAAGGAGGTACCTAGGTTTCTTGTACATGAGCTGGGAAGGGTGTCTTCTGTAGGACAGGGAACTGTGGGACAGGAAGTTTGATGGGTTCAAAAGAGGAGCCAAACTGTTGGAGGAGACCTGGATCCCTGGGTGGTCAGAGACTCAGGACATGCCAAGGCAATGACACCTCACACCTCCTTACCACACACCAACCATTCTTTAGGTTCATCCTCGGTGAAGCTTGAAGAGCCCTTGGTCCCCAGGGCTGTTTGCTTCAGCTGTCCCCTCCCCCGGGTGCGTTAGTTGCCTTTTCCCCTCCAAACCACCAGCCCCAAGAGATGGCAGGAATGCCTGACCCCCTCCTTCCCCCATCCACCCTCAGCTCTCTCCCCTGCCCTCCCCCAGACGGGGCCAGCCTGCTGGACCCAAAATAGAAACAGCAAATAAAGAAATGTCTAGTTTGGGGTTCCTCTCCCTCTCTGCTGGTGCTCATTTTTTCCAACTTTGGTTTAAGTTAAGAAACACCAATGTTTTTTTGGTCTCTGCTTGCTGCCAACATTTTTGTCGAGCTTGCTCAGGAGCTACTGACGGGGCTCATAAACTCAGTGGGGAAGACTTCGAGAAACCATTCTATATCTTGGTTGTTTTTTTTTCCTTTGCTTGGAATCAGAGAAATTTTTCAGTTTGCATTTCCCTAAGGCTGCAGGACGAGAGGTCAGAGCATAGAACTCTTCCAGTCCCAGCAAGTACACCAGGCACTTTCTTACACAGAGCTTGCCCTGATTAACCCACTCAGATGTGGCACCATGAGGTCCCTCTGCCATGCTAGGCTAAGAACTGGTATGGGAGGGTGGAAAGCAGGATTCTAGAAGGTTAGGACAGCACTGCAAATGTGCCCCAGGTGGCATATGAGCAGATGCCTCCCAAGGTTTCCCCCACTTCCAGATGACACTAGTCTTTCTTCTGATGTGCCAAAGACCCTGCATTCAGACATGTGCTCACCCTTGGCCTTGGCTTGACCTCTACCACACTGGTTAGGGAGCCTAATCTCATCAGAGAGCCAGGGAGTTCCCCAAAAGGGGAGGGTAAGGGGGTACTAATATCCATGATCATCTAGGGCTAGCATGACCCAAATACCTAATTTAAACTTCACAGTGTGGTGTGGAGGTGAGAAGGCAGCAGTGAGCAGATCAGAGAGGTGGGATGACCCCCCAAGGCCACACAGGGTTAGCAGCCCTGACAGGCACTTTGTCTAAACACTCTCCTGCTACCAGTGCCTGTCCTCTCCACCCGCCCCAGAAACAAGGAGAATGACCGGCCATTAAGCTAATGGGTTCACAAACAGCCACTCAGACTTCCTGAAAGAGGTGGCCTTGGATGGGAAGAGAAATGTGGGGAAGGGAAGGCTAAGAGCAAATGGGGCTGTGGGAGGTAAGCAAGCTTAGATGAGGACAGGCAGTTGAGTCTAGGGAGGCCTTGAATCCAATAGAGCCACTTGGAGCAAATGGTACATGAATAAACAGGTTTGCTTCTCAAGGTCTGGGAAACATACTGGGTAGAGAGAAGGTAAATTGTTCTACCAAAGACGCTTCTTTCTGAGCACAGAGTCCAAAAACTGTGAGGTAGGAAGGGAAGAAGAGTGGAAAATAGAAGTGGGGACCCGGGGGAGGGCCGGAAGGAAGACCCTGTGTTTAGCAAATACAGTCATGACTTGAGAAGAATGAAACCCACTTTTAGAAATATCGTCTGCAGCTTCCCACAATTCTTGCCACAGTAGTTGGTGCCCCTCCGGGAAAAGAGGACCTCATGGGCAGGTACCCGCTGGTACGCCACACGCTTGTCTCCCTGCAGCATCCAGATGATGATGTCGGGCAGGCTGTTCTGGGGCTGGAGAGAGGGCAGCGGATGGTCAGGGCACAGGCAGTGACGATTCAGGCCCGCCCCACAGCCACACCAGGATCAGACTTCTTCTGCTCCCCAAGCTTCCGTCCCACATGCCGCCCATACCCAGTCTCCCCCAGGACCACCCCCAAGGCTGATGGGCCACCTCTCTTCAGCCTGTGAGTCCCTATGGGCAGGAACTGGGGCTGCCCTGCTCTCAGAAGAAGCCCATCAAAAATTCAGAGCTGAATCCCGACATTCAGTGGGATGAGCAACTCCTGCCTGTAGCCCAGGGCCTGAGTTCCTAGATTCCCCTCCTCCCTGGGGCTAAGGACCAGAGGAATTGATTTCTTCTGAAGCCTACACTAAGGCATCACCCTGGAGAGCAGCAACTGACCCACAGAAGGCATGCTTGCCCCTCTGAAGACACTTCTCCCCCTCCCTTTCTAAAAGCAGGGGTCCTGGGGATCTGACCCTTTTCTGGGTCTAGTGACAATGGGCTCTGAAAATGCTAACTAGACCAGAACCAAGTTACAAGGCCCCTGGCCCCCTTTAGGGTCTCCAGCAGTGATTAAGAATTACTCTCAACTCCATCTATGGATAAATGGCTGGTTGGGCAAAAGTCCATCTCCTTCCAGGGTTGGTGAGCAAAGTGTGTCCAGGGATGGGGCTGGGCCTCTAACCAGGTCTACCCATGACTACTGATGTTCATGGGGCACTTGTTAACCATTTCATGTGTGGTTTCACTGAGCTCCTATGCAATTCCATTTAAGGTGCGAAATCTTCGAGCTTAGAGAGGTTAAGAGCCAAACCAGAATTTTTTTACTGCAAATACACAGTTTTCAACACCATCCCAATGGTTCTCAGAGCAGCAGCAACATCCGGATATACAGGATCAGAAACTCTGGGGTGGGGGGAGGACCTCAGCCTACTGCAGCCAGTCTTCCAGGGAGTGGGTCAAGAGTGACAAGTTCTCTCCAGGGCTTTTGTCATAGTTAGTAGCACCTAACTATGCTTGGCCTCCATCATGCCGTGGAGCAAGTTCAGGGATGAGTCTGGAGCCAGGATCATGGAGGGCAGTGAATGACCATCATGAGGAATTGGTGCAATGCCTGTGTCTAAGAAGCCCTGTCCACCTGTCCACTGGACACATGCCTGCAGACCCTGCTCAGGGAGGCATCCAGGCTGACTTTGAGGGTGCCTTCTCTTCCACCCCCAGGTGACCTCTTTCCTTCCACAACTCTCTGCTCCTTAACTCCCCTCCAGGCCTGCCCTTTCCCACACTATCTGGAACACCATTCTCACCATCCCCAGCTCCTCCCTTGGTACCCACATGGCTTCAAGTCTGCCTGCTACATGAACAGACCTTTCTCTGCATTCTGGAAAACTGGAGGCTGTCTACCTGCCCCGGGAACTGGATGGGGCATCAGGCCTCACAGAAATGGGGTGAGGAAAGAGTACCCCTGAAAATAAACTGAAATCAGCTCTCTGATTCCATATGATAAAGCTCAGAGTTACTGCACAAGCAGCCTTCATCCAGGAGGGCAATAAACAGGGCCCCCATGTGAGGCAAACTGAGGCCAGGTGTGAACAGGTGCTGACTAGCAGACAGAGAGAGCTAGGTCCCTAGGAATCCGCCATGGCACTAGACCCTCTCTGCCTGTGACAGACTTTGGCAGGCAAGGGCATTTACTGAGCACCTATTATAAGCCAGACTCTGTGAGGGACAACTCCCAGAATCCCATTGCAGTCTCTCAATAATCCTACATGGGAGTAATTTCCCTCCTTCTGGGAAAGGGGACACTGAGGCTCAGAGAGGTTAAGTTATCTTCCCAAGGTTGTCCAGATCATCCCCATGTCCCTCCCAGTTCTGATGTTCCAAGCAGCAGGGTCAAAGAAAGGAAGACACCACATAGGGTGAGCTACCTCCTCTGCAAGGGCACGGAGACGCAGGAGCCAGTCCTCAGCCTGCTCCAGGGCTGCAGGGAGCTCTCTGTGGCCAAGCTTTAGGGCCAAGGCAGCCTCAGTGATCTGTTTCAGGTGGCGGATGCGCAGCTGGTACAGGTACTGGTCCAGGTGTGTGGCGGCGGGCACCTGGCGGACATCACCCAGGGGCTGGCTGTGAGGGCAGACAGATGGACAATGGCTGGTGAGCAGGGAGCTCCCTTTGGCCCAGGCTTGTACCCACACATGTGTATTCAGCCTGGCCCAAACGCACAGACATTAATGTGACATGCTCCACCCTCACTTCTTCCAGGAGGCTTTTCCCAGCCTCATCAGCACATGGGCCACTCAACCTCCCATCCTATGATCATTTTTGCATGTCTCCTCTCCCTAATTGACTGAAAGCTCTCCAAGGTCCAGAGGGTCCCTCCTGGGCTCCCTCAGTCCACGCTCTAAGTTGCCCTCCGCTGAAACGAATCCGTCTGTGTTTTACACACACTTTCTTCAAGAAGGAAATTTATGGAGCCCTGACAAACCACTGCAGACGCTGTGGGGAGGCCCACAGCCAGTAATACAGATGGGTCCGCCCGGAGAGGCCCCACAACACCCCTCCCAGAACTCTCTGCTTTAGGAAGCCTTTGGGAGGAGGTGGGGTGCATGCAGTCCCAGAAACGCAGCACCATGGCAGGTTGAGCTTAAACCCTTGTTTGGAGGCAAATAACTCACCACCCTCCTCATCCCACTGGGGCTCCCTTCATACATGGGGGCTCCCACCATGCCAAGCTTGCTGGGTCAGTACACACACAGGGCCATGAAGAACGCGGTAGAGGCGTCTTGGTGTTCTCCCCGCCGAGTAGGGCCCCACTTGGTTGTCCCAGATTGGGGGTCTGGGGTGCCCCGCCCCCACCACACCCCGGCCGAGCCCTGGACTCCCAAATAGGACATCCATCAAAGCCGCTCCGCCAGCTCTGCTCCCACCTCCCCACCTCACGCTCCCCTCCCCGCAGCGTCTGGACTCCCGGCTCCCGGCTGATTTATTTTTCTGCCAATTTCCCCGAGCTATGCAGAACCAATTACCGCCGGAGCGCAGCGGCACCGCCGCCGCCAGATACACCACTCTGGCAGGCCCTCGCCGCACTACATTTTTCCTGTTATTTTTTTTAATTGAATTTTTAGGGTGGGGGGAGTGGTATGCCAACTCCATCTCAGGGAAACTTAAGCCCCGGGGCCCGTCTCAGCTCACGTACTGCACACCCTGTAGTAATATAATATTTACTGCCCCGAGGGTGCCACGGACCGGGCTGCCCCGGGCCGGTCGGCCGGCCGCCTCCATCCTCAACCCGCTCTCATGTTGCGGAGGGGTAAGTTGGGTGGGTGGAGGGGCCGGAGCCAGTCCTGGGCTGGGGCCTGCTTGGAAACGAAGCCTGAGTGTGACCGAGAGTGGGGGCAGGCGGGATCTGGAGTAGGGCTTGGAGAGCTGAGCCAACCTGGTGATTTATGCGCCCAGCCTGGGTCGGGAGCTGGGAGGGACTGCGATAGAAACCACCAAAGGGAGATTTTCCTGGAGGCCAAGCCCCAGCCAGGGCTCCCCAAGAAACAGCTAGGACCTGGGCCCCTATTAACAAGATGTCTGGTCCTTTCCTGCCCCAGGAAGACCCAGGACAGAAGGTAGGAAGAGAAAAGGAGTCTAGGAAGAGGAAACTGGGGTTACATGCACCCCACACACAAGCCTGCCAACCCTGGCTGACACGGAAATCACAGGCAGGAACGTCCAGGCAGACTCAGAGCAGGCACAAAGACACTCTGGGAGGGGCCAGAGTGAACTGGCTGTGGGGGTCCTTCATTTCACTACTCATTAGCAATAGCTCCATTGGGCCTGGATCCAGAGTTCGGACCAGCCCTGCCCTGGGGAGTCCTGGGTCAGAAAGGCAAACAGGCCATGCCGACACCCACTTGGTAGCCTCAAACTCAGGAATAGTTTCTGAAATAAGGGACCCAGAATAGTTCCTGGCAGAACAGGGGGAGCTGGTAGGGCCCAGGAGAGCCGGAAGGGCATTTCGTAGATGGAGCAGCAACTGCAGGAAGGGGACGCTCAGCACATGAAAGTGTATATGAGGTGGTGAGGGTCTGCCAGGCCAGCACAGAGGCCAGGGTAGGACTGGTGGGGATGTCGGACAGGTGGTGGGGCAGAGACAGGGCCAAAGCTGGAACTCATCCTGGAGCAGTGTCGGTGGGCAGGGCACAGTCCAACTTAAGTCTTAGGACGATGGCAGGGAATGATCAGGGGTTAGAGCTCAGGTGGCTGCCAGTTTGAGGAGGTAGGCGAGGAAAGGAGACAGGCCAAGGATGATGGAGAGACAGAACCAGCAGGACTGGAGAGGAGAAGGAAGAGAGACAGGAAAGTGGCCAGAGTGGACTCTAGTCTTCTGGGGATGACGGCACCAAAAGGCACAATGGGGATGGTGGTGAAATCTTTCTGGGTCATATGTAATCCCAGACACCCAGCAGGCTCTGGGTCCATGGTTTAGAGATCAGAAGAACAGAGTGGGCACCGCTGGCCTGGAGAGGAGGGGCTACCCCAGGAAGATGAGCCAGGAAAACTCTGAGAAACACTGATGGTGGAGGCATGAGTGAAGGTTTGGGATTAGGTAAGGGACAACTGTGATTCAGCTATGACAAGCTAGCTCAGGACCCACCCCTGGCTTTCTGGCCTCATCAGCTGTAGTGGCACTCAGCACCATGTTGGGAGGTGGACAAAGCAGGCATGCTGAAATCACAAGGCTGCTCGGAGGTCTCAGATGATGTCTAAAGGAATCATCCTGGGATTCCTCTGCTACAGGCCATTTGTGCATTCCTTAAGAGAATGGAAGTCAGGCACCCCTCCCAAGCTCCTGAACTGAGACCAGTGCCCCTAGGAGATCCTGAGCCACCCTTCTGTCCCCAGGACAGTAACTCAGGGGACCAGTCTTTGGCAGGAATGTTTTAGCAAAATCCTCAAGAGCAGAGCCTGGAGTAGGCACGGAGGGCTGCCGGGGACTCCGATCCCATCCATCTCAGATGTTTGCAGGAACCTCAGACCTGCCTAGTCCACAGCACACGAGCTATCAGCAGCATGGCAGCAGCCCCCAGTGCCCTGGCCTTTCCACAGTATCCCGAGGCTTCCTGGCCAGCCAAAAGAGACCAGCTAGTCATTGTAAGGGTGGCCTGTGGCAGGGAAACCAGCACTGTGCCTGGTGAGCTCACCCCCAGGGCTACATGTCCCCCTCATGCTGACCATATCCACTCGTGTGTGCCCTCCAGTCCTGCTCTGTCCTCAGACCTGCAGAGCCACAGGTCAGCTTCCTCACAGATGTCCCACGGGCACCTCCTCTCAACACAGCCACTGCCCGCCCCCTAACGTGCTTCTCCTCCTGCTGACCCCTCAGAGGACGGGCCCAGTGTCCATCCAGCTGCCCTGGCCAGCTCATGGGTATCGTTTTGGTCTTTCTGTTGACCCCACATCCAATCCACCATCAAGTGCTGTTCATTTTGGAGCAGTACAGCTAGGGGCTCTGCCGCTACTAGCTGTGTGAATCTAGGCAAGTTAACTAATCACTCAGAGCCTCAGTTGAGTTGTCTCATCTGTAAAATGGGGATCATTCCAGTTCCCACCTCCTAAGAATTTCACGATCATTACATTCATCAATATGTGTAAAAGCCTTAGAACAGTGTCTGGTGGAGAAAGTGCTTCTTAAGAGCTTGCTGCGACAGTAATACCTTCTGAATAGGCCATGCTGCCCTCTACTGTCAAGCTGCCCTCCCATAACCTTCATGGTCACATGGCCAGCCCCCCTCACCTAATCTCCCAGCACCCCCAGCCTTCACACCAAAAGCATTCAGCTGACCTCATGTTCCGCTAAGGCCTGTCCTGACTGGTTTCAGCCTCACGCTGCCAACTTCCCAGAGCCAACAAGGATTGCTGACCCCACTCCTCCCTCAGAGTACACATCAGGTACCCTCTCCTGTGGGAAGCACCCCTGAATTAGATCCGTTTGAATGAGTTGACATTTGAATTTTGAATGCCACATCATTTATTAAATACTCCCTAAGCTTCTGATGTCCTTGGAAACCCTATACAGGATCGTTATGAGTAGGAACTGACTCTAAGGTACTGAACAACAACGACAAAGGTTCTGGTGTGGCGCTGTAAGATAAGCAAGGTTGGCTATTCAAACCCACCAGCTATTCCTCAGAAACCCTATACAGGGTGGCTATGAAGCGGAACAGACAGGATGGCACTTAACAACAACAACAAGTGGGCAAGCAAGGAGTCCTGGTAGGAGAAAGATGAAGCTGTCTGCTCCCATAAATATTTACAGTCTCAGCCACCCTCTATAAGGTCACTAAGATTCTAAATTGACTTGGTGACAGTGGATTTGTTTTTTGTGTGGGAATAGGTCCTCTAGTCAGCTGGTAGTTTCAAACTGCTGACCTTGAGATTAGCAGCCTGACTCATAACCACTATGCTACCAGAGCTCCTCTGTAATGCCAGGCTGACAATGAGGAAACAGTTTCAATGCTGATGGGTGGCTAGCGCCAACCACCTGACAATGAAGACGATGCTAGGTCTGCAAGCCCCCATGTTCTCCATCACCCTCCAGAGCCCCCTCTGCCTGAAGTTGACAATCAACCTTGTCAATAGGAGGAAAAAGCGAGACCGAGGTCCCCGACATGGCTTTGGGAGGAGAAGGGGCAGCGTCCTCCTCTCCAGCTTCTCCTGGAGATCGCATCAGAGAAATGAGGTCGGAGATCAGAGACACAATGCTCGCCATTGAGGTGAGCTGGGCTGCCCGGGCCCACAGCTGCCGCTGCTGCAGGGAGATTTATGACCTGCTTTCAGTATCACCTTTTCAACTCCCCACGCTGGCTCCACCACCTTCGGACTCAGTCTTGTCTGGACTGGGGGACATGCTTCACCAGCACACTCCCAGGGTTACCTGGGAAAGTGAGTCTCACCAAGGGTGCCAGGTAGCCCCTACCTGCAGTCTGCAATGAGGTCATCCATCAACTGAGCCACCAGGGAGTCCACATCCTCTGTGGTGCACTGCGCCTTCAGGGCCAGATGAACTTCCTCCAGGCCAGCTTCCTGTGGAGCAGACCAGTGGCAGGACACACTGGACCCTAGCCCCAGGCCCTGTCACCTCAGCCCCGCCCCTGAGCCAAAAAGGAACAGTTCAAGCAAAGAAGGCAGAACCCAGATCAGAAAAATCAGGGTCTCCTGTGGTTCAAGAACCTTCCAGGGCTCTTCACACTCAGACAAACCCAAATTCCCAAGTCTGGTATTTCAATCTAACTCGTGGTCATGAGGAGTTCTGATATGGGTACGACTACAACAGAAGTTGACTTCATCGTCTTCCTCATGGGTCCCCTTGGAAACAGGTCTGACTTCACACAGGTAAATGGTCCTCCCTGAGCCTTTGCTAATTCTATTTCCCCACCCCTTCTCCAGAGGCGTTCAGGCCAGTTCCTCCAAACTGCCACAGCCCTTGGCATCCATCTGCCCAGGCCTCAGTGACTCACAGAATACCCATGAGGCCAAGGATTCATCTCTCAGTCCCCCATTCACCCTCCCCATGCATCAGCTTTCCTGAGCTAGGGACCGATCCTAGAAACAGAAAACACCGTCATCCTTGTCCTGGAGTCCTGAGAGAGAAGAATCCGGACGATGAAGTCTGGAATTCTATAGCATCAACTCCAAATTCTCCCTCACCTTGATGCTTCCTGGTTTCCTCCACATGTTCCTCTCGGAGTCCCTGACATGGGCCAATATCTCCCTTCACCTTCACCTAGATGCCCTCCCAAGCCACTTCAATACCCCAATTTTCTTCCTCCCGTTCAACCTTTTAACTGCCAAGTCTCTTGCTTGGCCTGGCTCCTCATCTGCTTCAACTCCTGCCTCCCCCCAACTTCTTAACAGGGGGGCTTCTCTTGCCTCCTCTACTGCCCCCTCCTTTATTCATTGGCCCACTGGAACCAGGATCAGGACCTTGTCCCATTTCTGGACCTCCAGTTTCTAGCATAAGCCCTTGCACTTGGTCAAAATCAAATGCATTTGATGAACGAATGAGCAGTTCAAGACTCAACCCTGCTCCTACTTCCACCTCTCAGCCTCATTCTCTGTGCTGTCTCTCACGTTAGACTGGTGGTTCCCCCAGATTCTCTTCTCTCCTCTCTCCTAGTACCCAAGATGTTGTCAGGGTACAGGAAGGTCCGAGGGCATAGATGTGTGCACACACGGGTGGGTAGGTCTGAAGACAAACACTGGTGAGGGGGCCTGCTCATGAGGTATGCGGTCTGGGCAGCTTCGCACTCACCAGTCGGTCAGCAATCCTGAGCAGCTGGTTCTGCGTTTCGATCCTGTGGCTGATGTCCTCCCAGTAAGATGACAGCACCACCACAGGCTTCACATTGCCCCAGGGTAAGTAGTAGTAATGGCACCCTGGGGTGGGGGGGTGGGGGGTTGCCTGAGTATTGGGCCAGTAGCAGAGGAAATGGGAGATGTGCAGAGCTTGGGCCCACTGGAATTGGCACAGCTGGGAAGAAGGCAGACACCTCCTCCCACATCCAAGAACGCCCCCATGGAAAGCTATGACACCCGTTCTAACAAGGTGCCTGGGTTCCCGCAATGCATCCACCAGACAGGTGTTGCTCTCATTAGAGCTCCTGGGAACATCAAAGCAGAGGAGCTGTTAGAACAACCCTGGGGATACAAGCATGCACTCCTCTAAATCTCAAAGTCAAGCTCAACAGACATGCTGTAGTAATCACAATAGGTCACAATAGATGCTGATCACAGCCATTTCTAGGGCACCGCACCGTGTGTAGGCCGTGGCAAGTGAGCAGGGAGGAGACGTGGTATGAGGAAAGATAGGGTGGGGACCTCATGCAGCTCTGCACAAGGCAGGACTTGGGGTTCATCCCCTGCCCTGCGTTCTGGGCCTCTGGGCTCACCGTCGAAGACTGCCCGGCTATACTGAGTGGTGGAGACCAGTGGCAGGCAGGTTGTGTCGAACTTGTTCCCATAGTTCCCGATGCTGACCTCGAACTGGATGGCATCGTCAACATCCTGAAGCATGGAGGCTGAGTAGAAGGCTGCGAACAAGGAGTACTTGCGCCTCCGGAGGTACTTCTGAGAGCAGAGGACAGGCACAGGGTTACTGAGGGGTACAGGCAGACACCCAGTATGGGGACCACTCACATGTCTGGCAGCCCCTGTCTGGGACCTGTGCCCAGCAACTCCAGGCTGGACAGAAGGATGGCAAATGGTCAACTAAGAAACAATGTCCAGATTTGGTTACTGAGCAAACTCATTCCAGGTTTGTATGTGTTTGGTCACGTTTCCCCAATAAGATCTGCTCCTTGGGGAAAGGTCATGCTGATCCTTAATCCAAACCAGCAGTGATGGTTCCACCACTTCAGGGGAGTGTGGTCTCCTGCAGCAACCCCTAGGGCAAACAGGCCCTCATCTCTGCTCAGAAGGGTCCCAAAAGCCAACCCCTTCCCAAACTGCCCAGTCACCCAGCATTTCCTCCACACCAGCCAACTCTGGGTTCCACACAGGCTGCCAGCTGCCATTTGTGTGGAGCACATTAATCTCAGTGTCCTCGCTGATCATGTGGCACAAGACTCAACAAGACACCTTAATTTGAACAAAGATTTTTTTACAATTCTCATGGAAGGCACACAGGAAAAAGTGTTGGACAGCTGGGTTTCACGTAAATAGTAAGAACTAACTCCTACTGAGTGCTTACTGTATACAAATATTGTTGCTAAGTGCCTTCTGACTCATAGCAACCCTGTACAGGGTTTCCCCAGAGCAGCTAGTGGGTTTGAACCATCAACCTTGTGGTTAGCAGCCTAGTGCTGATCCTACAGTGCTACACCAGGACTCCACACAAGTATTAGTTCATTTTCACAGCAACCTTAAAAAATAAGTATGACTATCAGTCCCACTTTATCAATAGTAAACTCACCAGCCGCTCCTCAGAAACCCTATACAGGGTTGCTGCGTCAGAACCAACTCAACAGCACTCAACAACAACAACTATAGAAGAAAGGCCCAGCAATTCAATTCCATTAAGATTACAGCCAAGAAAACTGTACAGAGCCGTTCTGCTTGGAAACACTTGGAGGAGCCATAAGTGGAAATCCAGCCACAGGGAAAGTGACACAGATGGGAAGCAGTAGACCCAGGGCCATCTGATTCCAGTCTGAAAGTTGAAACCACTATGCTAACCCAATACAGAGGACTCCAGAATACATTTGAGGTTCAGTTTCCTCATCTGTACAATGGAACGTTGAGAGAATTCGCTGATACAGTATCAGATGCTGTCTAGTATTAGACACCCGATGTGTATCAGAGTAAAACTGTACTCCACTGAGTGTTCAATGGCTGGTTTCTGGGAATGGATCTCCAGGTTTTTCTCTGAAGGTGTCTCTGGTTGGACTCAAACCTCCAAACTTTCAGTTAGCAGCCAAGTGCTTAAGTGTTTGTGCCACCCGGGGACTCCTCATCTGAAACATGAGTGCTTAATAAATGTATGTTATCCTGACATTGCCACTCCAAAGTTGCATCTTATTTTGCATCAAGCCCTAGACTTCTAAAATGCTTTTGTTTATCTTAGAGCCTCTATGCATCCCGCCTGGGGGGCGGGGGGTGGGGGGGGCCTATGTCCGAACTGTGCAGGTCACCTGGAGGCCAGTCCCTCCCAGAGTTACCCTTACCTCCACCCGGAGGATGTCATCTGCAGGGAGGTCCTCCACCTTCTGCTCAGTGTGTTCCACCAACTTGGTCTCCAGGGAGAGCAGGAGCCGGCCTCGGTAGGCCACACCTTCCCCCTGAGAGTGGAGGTCTGGTCACCAGGAGCAGGGGGCAGACGGGGTGAACCCTGAAGTCACTCACCTCCCAGACAACCCCAACTCAGCAGATGGAGGGATCATGGCCTAGAGAGTCCAGGGGATATGCCCAAGCTACCCAGATGGTCAGCTGCAGACCTCCACCCAGCGGGAGGAAAGAGAAAACCAGAGAAAGGTAGGGCCTGGGTCCCTTTAGAGCTGGAGGTGGACTCTGAGGGCTGCACAGGCTGAAACAGAAGACCCTACACACAGACGACCTGGGGTCTGGCATCTTGCCCTGGCCTGGGCCTGCTCTGGGTTCAACTGGCTCACCTTTCCCGTGTTGAGCTCTGCATAGGGGTCTGGGAAGCCTGTGAACTCCCTGGGGCTGCCGTAGAGGTTGACGTAGCAGGGTCCGAAGGTGGGGAGGAAGCCCAGATGGTCGTCCACTGGGAGACACAGGCAGGGATCAGAGGGCTGGCACAGAGGATGTGGCCACTGTCAAGCCCTCGGTCCCTGCACATGCACAGGGATGCAGGCCTGGTAAACAAGGACCTGGAGAGACCTGCTGGTCTCTCCCATAAATCCCTGTAATCCTCTCTACTATTCTGAGACATGGATAGCGTTAGTATTTTTCTTTGTCCCAGACTACAGATGAGGAAACCAAAACTCAGAGATGCAAAGAAACACATGATGGAAAAGTGGCAGATCCCAAAATGATCTAGCCTCAAACCCTGTGCACACAGTCCCACAAAAAGCTGAGGCATGGGGTCCCTCACTTCCTGTCCCTGTCCTTGAGCCATATCCACACCAGAGCCCCTTTGACCCTTCCACCCTGCACCTCAAGATGCCATCTACCAATGGCCCAGGGAAGAGACCCAATGACCTTCCCCACAGGACAGCTCCCCAGTGAGTCCCCTCTCCTCTCCTCTCCCCCAAGTCCTTATGCAGTGTCCACTGTCAACTAAGGGCCTTGATTAGCCCCAGCATCCCACTCCCCACTGACACTGTGCAGAGGCCAGCTGTCCACAAGATGGACTGAAGGAGAGTGAGAATCACAATACTGATTGAAAAGGCTTCTCTCCACAGCATGTCTGCCTCTGCGGGGACTCCCTTCAGTTAATGTCACAATTTTCCAGCTCAGCTGAGTTTCCCCAGGACAGGACTCAGAAAACCCCAAAAAGCTAGGGTTTCCCTACCACAGCAAGGATGAAGAGGATGTTTCCCAAATGCCAAAGGTTGGGGAACTGGGAGGAGGGTGGACAGGACAGGAATGGGAACTTTCTGGGACGACCCAAACCACCAAGGATGCAGCAAGGTGGGCACAGGCTAAGTGGCCTCAGTAAAGATGTACCTGAGCCAGACATAAAGGGGTTTGCTGTGAATGTGACCTGTGAGGGCAGGAGCAGGCTGGGAGCAGGCCTCAGAGACAGAAGATCTGACCCACCCAGAGGGAGGAGCTGGACCCTCCATCACCAGGCCCCCCCTGCTATATCCTTCATCACTTCCCTCTTCCAGTCTGTACCTCAGCACAGACAGAGCCCAGGACAGATGTGGGGGGTACCAAGGCTGAGAGAACCAATGGGAGCCTTACTACTTTTCCTACCTACCTACATCATGGTTTATCTTGTGATCTTCAACTTCCAAAGCTTTCCACTCACCCTGGCCTGCTCCAGGTCACCCCCGCCCAGCACACCCCACCAGGCCCCACCCCTCCCTGTCAAAGAGTAGGCTGTCCTTTAAACTACTGCCCTTAAAACATTCCAAGCGATTTACACATTCAACAGCAGGTGAACATAGCAGCCAAAGGTAAACTCAGGCATTGTGGTGGGGGGAGTCTCAGTCCCAGCTCAGGAAATCACAAAATTCCCACAACAAAATCCCTAAGGGCCCCACCCCCTGCTGGCCCCAAGGAGAAAGCAACCTACGGTCTGCGGCTTGAGGAGGCTTGACCACACCTGGAGGCTCCTCTGAAGCGTAAAGAAATGGAAAAGAGGTTAGGATGGGCACAGCTGGGAGAAGGCGCAGGGTTACTCCAATGGGTCTCATGGATGAGAATTGGCAGACAGATAGATGGAAACACAGCTTCCTTGTGGGAAACAGATGTGGCCCAAGGCCCCGCCCCCACCCCAGCTGGGAATTTATCACAAACTAAACTGTCGCATGCTTGATGGTTTCACCTTCACACACCCCCAGCCAGACACAGCCCCCACCACCATGGGGAGCCCCGAGGTCTCTCCCACCTGTGTCAGTAAATATCAGTGTACTATTGTTTGTTGATTGAAAATTGGACCCCAGACTTAACTGGATACATTCAAGAAATAACAACAGAAAAATGTGCTTTTCCATAGTTTAGTCAGATAAGAGGGTGAAACAAAGTACAGACACAAAGGGTGAAGGAGACACACACATGGACCAGAACTAGTCCGGGAGGTTGACACTAGGGTCCAAGGGGCCCTGAAAGATGCCATTTCAAGGAACAACATCTCCATCTAGTGGCCATTTCCAGTACTGCCCTTGTAGGCGCCAAGCTGTATGTTTACAACAGCCCACTCTGATATCAGACTTCTGACACCTGCCACTTCAAGCAAGTCCAGTGCTAGGTGGTGCCCATTAGCTTACGGTTCTATACACTCAGCTGTGCCCTAAGTACTGGTAAGGGACTCTAGACCAAAGAGAAGGAAAGAGATGCTCGGACACATCTCCCCCGTGTTGTTAAGTACCGTTGAGTTGGTTCTGATGCATAGTGACCCCTGTATATGGTTTCCAAGGAGCAGATGGGTTTGACCTGATTTAGCAATCCAGTGCATATCCTATAGCGCCACACCAGGACACCCCCTCACTTTTAAGCAGATGCAAGAAGCCCCCAAGGAAGTGGGATCTCCTAGTCTTCTCCCCGTGTCCTCTCTAATTCCTGACTCCTCCTGCCTCTGAGCTTCTTTTTCTCCTTCTCCAACCAGCAAACTATACAGGTTCACGATGCGTCAGATCTGACTCGAAGGCACTTAACAACAACAACCAGTAAAGTAGAACCAAGACCAGGGCCATGGCCAAGCCTGGGATACAGTTGGTGAAATCCCAGTTTCGTTCAATGTTCACATTTACCTAAAATGTGTGGGTGTCTTTACAGAAAACACCTGCTGTTATTTTCCTATGGCGTCCTGGTGTGGCACTGTAGGATAAGCACGGGACTACAAGGTTACTTTGAACCACGCGGTCGGCAGTTCAAGCTCACCAGCCATTCCTTGGAAAGCCTATACAGGGTTACTATGAGTCAGAACCACCTTGACCTCCGATGGCACTTACCTATTTTCCCACAGCTCCATGATTGTACTGACTAACCAAGAGTTGAGCAAAACATGATGAAGGAAGATGAGCTAACACACTGAGAGAAAGATGAGGAGTGAGAAGAGGAGAATATGGGGACAAGGCTGACAAAGGGAGAAGGTAGCAAGGAGGAGGAGACCCAGCTGAAGCCCTGGGACCCAGCCCTCAGCTCCCCACAGCCAGCCTCAGCCAGGAACGCCACTGACGGAAGTCAATTGGCTGCAGAAACTAGAATTCATGGCCATTTTCATGAACAGGTTTTCATCAGTGGGGTAGCCAGTCCTCCGGCCAGCCACAGGGGAGTTTCAGCAGCAGCAATAGGACAGGCGTGTTGGGCACAGCTGCAGCCATCAGGGTCCAGGAAGGAAACAAATTCCATGTTAAGCTCCTTCAAAATGATTACAAACAGGCCTGGCCAGTTATCTCGAGCTAATGAGACCAAGGTCAATAGTCTGACCCCCATGTGCTTCTTGCAGAGTCAAACTCAGCTTCCCACCCACAGACTGACCCTGAATCCTGACAGTGCCTCAGCCCAGCCCAGATGTCCCCTAATCCCACCAGCCATCTGACCAACACATGTCCCTGGTGGCTAGGAAAACCAGGGGATGTGGGGGGCTAAGTAGCTCAGAAATAGTCTGGTTTCTAACCGCAGATCCAGCACCACTTTTTCATTTGTTCATGCATTAATTTGTCCCTTCATTCTGCAGACTAACTAGACACAGTGCTAGGCACCAGCACTGCTGGCATTTCAGTCAACGATTCCCAATTTCAGACAGGGACATGGGTCTCCAGGTACTAAGATCACCCCAGGCTCTCTTCCCTATGTCTGCAGACAGCTAGTAAAGTCAAGGGCAGGGTGACCAGCAAAGCTGCTCAAGACAAAGCCTCTATTCACTCTTCCTCATCCTTCTGCCAAAACACAAGTTGGTATGTTTTGATATGCTTTCCCTAAGCCCAAGGAACTGGGGATGTGGAAGCCCCAAAACACAGATGATCTTCTGGTTCTCTGAGACCCAAGCAGCCAGGCCTGACTCTCACCTGGGGAAGCCGAAGGAGACACAGAGCAGGTCCCCAGCCCCGTGAGTGACACGTCACAGTCCTGCAGTCAGTTCTGGAGACACCTGTGTGTCAGCTACCTGCTGCTAGCCCTGCCCCTCTGCACACCTCCCACGCATACAACGTGTGGCTAACTGTTCAATATCGGGCAGGGAAGAAACCCAACAACTACTGAGGAATCATCATAACCAATGTTTCAAAGACAAGACACTATCTTTGGATTGTTTTTAACTGTAGACAAACTTTAGGATAAGAGTTCTATTTATTTAGCATGCTTTTCATATAAATATAAAGCTTTTAGAAAAAAAGGAAGAACTGCAACTTCTAAAGAAAGCACTAATTTTTTTTTTTTTTTACTAAATACTTGTAAGCACAAGATCCAAGGATCTCTTAAGTCTGCCCAGACAAACCTGTGGGCAGAAATGTTTAAGAAACTATTCAGAGCTCCTGTACTCACTAGAAACACACATACATAGTCCTGGTTGGACCAAATCATCTAATGAACCATGCGGTGGAACAATACAGACAGGGAGGAATTTTGGGAGGACAGTTTGGTTGACTCTGGGCTTTGAGAGCAGTGAGGAGGTAAAGAGTTGTGTATCACCCAGATGTGCTCGAACTGCTCCCCATGAAGACAGAATACAAAATGTCTGAAAGGGAAGTTCAAGAATGTGTTCTGAAGGGGCCTCCAGGACAAATGGGAGAAACTTTGCCCGGAGCAAGACAAGCACTGATGTCAAGGCCTGGAGAGAGGCTCTCCTCAGAGACAAGACACACCTCTGAGGGAAGGGCAGCAGGACACCTGAGAGGTCATACAGAATGGCTCCAACTCGAGCTGTAAATTTAATCCATATTGTTACTGTTACATGGAGTGAGCTACTTAATTAACTGCCTGTGTAAAACTGGTAACCTGGCTGGACACAGGTTCTCCTTCTTTTCCTAAATCATCTGTGAGAGGAGCTCCTGCCTAATGCTCAGGACTGCAAGCTCGGTTTGAACCTCAAGGACAGCAGCTCAAGCTCACAAACCACTCCTCAGAAACCCTATACAGAGTCGCTGAGTGGGAACCGACTTGACGGCACTTAACAACCCAAAGCATATGAGGTTGCCCATGAGCTGAGCGCCATCTAGTGGGAAAATAAGCATCCTTCCTCCCTTATTAAAATATTTATGCCAACATAGAAAAATTTGAACTCAAGTTGCCTGGTTCCCAAGCTCAAACTCTTACCCTACCCCATCCTGCCTCCATGTGCCCATGGGTGGTGGTGGTGTGCCGTGGAGTCAGTTCTGAATCACAGTGACCCTGTATAGGGTTTCTGAGGCTGTGAATCTTTATGAGAGCAGAAACAACTGTTCTCCCGCAGAACAACTGGTAGTTTTGAACTGCTGACCTTGAGGTTAGCAGCCCGACTTGTAACCACTACATTACCAGAGTGTTATCATAATCATCCCTCAGATCAGATCCAAAAGCTCACGACATCCCAGACAAACTTCAAGGAAACCTGCATAGATCCAAGCAATTTTTTAAAATAGAAGAAAAAGTCCCAAAAACATTTAGTCAGAAAAAAAATAGAGTACCCACAGGAAATCAAATCAGACTGTGTTCAGAACATATGGTGGTGGTAGTGTGCCATCGAGTCAGTTACAACTCACAGTGACCCTGTATCAGGCTTCCAAGGCTGTAAATCTTTACAGTAGCAGAAAGCCTCATCTTTCTCCATCACAGTGGCTGGTAGATTCAAACTGCTGACCTTGTGGTTACTAGCTCAGTTCATAATCCACTATGCTACCAAGGCTTCTCCTCGGAATATACACCAAAACAAATTCAAACTAGAAGAAATATTTTTTTAAAACAACACCATAAGAATAGAGTTAAATATAGCCTTGGAAAGTTGCTAACCTTTTAAGCATGACATATAAGGCAGAAACCATGCTTTCATTATTTAAGAAATTTTAAAAACAATCACAAAAAATTAGTTAGAAAGTTAAAAATGGAAATAACTAATTCCAAAGAAATTTGAAGAGTATAAAGATAAAACAGAGAAGACAGAATTAGGAAAGCAACAAAAATATTAGAATTGATTCAAAAACAAACACCCAAAAGCTGATTTTTGAAAAACCCAATAAAGTAAGCAAATACCTAAAATGTTAATCAAGAAAAAAGACAGAGAGAACCTAAATACCTCACATAAGTAATAAGAAAAGGGAAAGTAGCATAAGAAATAAAAAAGGGAGAAAGACCATAGAAAGAGAGAACTGTCTAAATTATAAAAGATGGCTCTGCAAAACAAATGTATAAATTAAAATATTTCAGTATAATGGATGCTTTTCTAGGAGAATATAGATAATTAAAATGGACTAGGGAAACAAAAAACAAAAAAAAAGCTAAAAATAACATGATCAGAGGAGAAACTGAAAATGTTTTAAAAAGCTAATACTACACACGCTCAAAAGGGCACCAAGCCCATATGGTTTTATGGGTGAATTCTTTCAAACCCTCAAAAGATTATATTCCTATGTTACATAAACTGTTCCAGATGTTAGAGAAGACTTTAAATCATTCCAATTAATTTTACAGAGCCAGCATAATCCAGATACCAAAACCTGAGAAATAAGTAGACATACCAATGGAAGAAAATAGAAAAATGCAGAATCAGGGTAAAGAAACATTTAGTAGGTGATAGAACACCATTTCAAAATATTGGGAAAACTACATTCAGTATATAGCATTGATACCACTAAAGAACAATTTTGGGGAAAAGTTATGTTTGACACTTACCTTATTCACTAGGGAAAACATTAATAAATTTGGCCACATAAAAATTTTAAATTTCTATTTAAGTGATAAAATAAGACTGAGAAAAACTATGTACCGCATATATGACAGAGAAAAAGTTCATATCCATATCCATCCAGAATTCTTTCAAAACAATGAGAAGAAGACAAAGGTGCCAACAGAGATATGGGTCAAGAACATGAGCAGATAATTTATAATAGAGTAAATAGAAAACATAAATATAAGCATAAAATATATATTAAACTATTTTAAATTTGCACTGGTAAACTTTACCAGAAATTTTATCAAGAAATAAAAATTAAAGTAACAACGAGACACCATTTTTACACCTCAAATTAACAAAGTTATCTTTAAATATTATTTTGTCCCATATTGGTGAGGTGCAGGAAAATGGGTTTATGAAAGTACAAATTAGCCCAAATCTTTTGAAACGCAATTTCAGGATAAACCAAAAGCCTCTAAAATGGTCAAATCTTTAGACACAGCAATTTTACTTCTCGGTTCTTTATCCAAAAGGAAAACCATGACGATTAGGGTACAAATATATGTCTTACAAGGTAAATTGTTTAAAATGTAGAACGCAGTTGGCCACAAAAAGTCTGGTGGGCAATGTGGGCACAACATCCAGTACTACCTACAGTCCCATCTCCGTGGTCATCTGCCTAACATCTCAGGTGTGGAGACAACCAGAAGTCCGCCATCACATCATTCTCACCAGTATAGACCTTCTCCATAGGAAATGGTCAGTAAGGGCCTTAGAATCTTCCCTTTTCTACAAACTCTCAAAGTAGAGGCGTACTTCAGGGAGAGCCTGGGCCACCAGAGGCAGATCATAGGTGACAGTTACCTTCTATTTCTCCTCCAGGGGCAGAGATTTTGGACATACTCAGGTAGGTGGTAGCCACGATGTCATTGTGAGTGAGGCGGTCCCTAAAGCAAAGGAGACAGAGAAGACCTGAGTAAGGACCATAGCTCGCCCAGGCAGGAAATGACCTCACGTGCACAGCATTAGCAGCCCAAGTCTCCACACTGGCCATGTGACCAAGGCCTGGCCAGGGAAAAGACTGGAAAGAAAGATCTGCTCACACATCCCCTAATGGAATTAGTATAAGTTGCCAGTCATCAGCATTTCTTGGACACTACCCACAGTTATTGGGGTCCTGGTGCGGTGCTGTGGACTAACACATCAGACAGCAAAGTCGTTTGAACTGCAAGATCGGTGGTTCAAGCTCACCAGCTGCTTTGGAAACCCTATACAGGGTCTCTATGGGTTGGAATCAACTTGATGGCACTTAACAACAATACCAACAACCCACAATTATTGGTGCATTTGAGCTATGGTGTTGGAGAGGAATATTGAAAGTCCCATGGACTGCCAAAAGAACAAACAGATCTGTGTTGGGAGAAGTACAGCCAGAGTGCTCCTTGGAAGCCAGGATGGCCAGACTTCATCTCTCATACTTTGGACATACTATCAGAGGGGCCAGTCCCTAGAGAAGGATATCATGTTTGATAAAGTGGAGGGTTGGAGAAAAAGAGGAAGACCCCAATGAGATGGATTGGCACAGTGGCAGCTACAGTGGGCTCAGGCATAGCAATGACAGTGAGGTTGGCACAGGACTAGGCAGTATTTCATTTTGTTGTGCATAGGGTAGCTATGAGTCAGTATCAACTCATTGGCACCTAACAACAACAACAACAACCCGAGGTCATGGAGTACTGGTGTGGCCTCAAATCCTAGAGTTGCCATTTTGGGAACTTATGAAACCTTCCAAACTTCAGCTCCCTCATGTGAAATTGGGGGTAATAGTGGTGGGGGTGTGCTGTGGAATTGGTTCCCACTCATAGCGACCCTGTATGGGTTTCTCAGACTGTAAATCTTTACAGGAACAGAAAGCCTCACCTTTCTCCCTCGGAGCCACTGGTAGTTTCAAACTGCTGAACTTGAGATTAGTAGCCCAACTTGTAACCACTGTGCTACACAGAATAGTATCTATATTATAGGACTGTTCTGAGACTCAGTGAGCTGAACTGAGAATCATGTGAAGACACAGTACTTAGTTCAATAAATATCAGTCAGCAGAGCTTCTAAGTACAGATGAGGAAGAAAAGCCTGGTGACGTAGTTTAAAAAATCTGAAATGAAACCTCATGGACCATAGTGGCCTAATCCTGTTATACATGGTGTCACCATGAGCCAGAGCTGACTCAGTAATAACGAACAAGAGTGTTACTATTTATTATTATCAGAGGGGTCAACGTGGGGCACAGAGGGAGGTCTGCACATATGTGATTGGCTAATTGGTTAATTCGTCAATTAGTCTTACAGTCCCCTGTGCTATTGGGGGAGGACAGAAGTCTCTATGGGCAGCAGGACAGGCCTACACAGTACCTGCAATAGGACTCAGGACACCAGTTTCAGCCCCAGCCCTGTCATCAACTCCAGGTGTCTTTTCAGGGAGCACATGCCATTTTACTCCTGTCCCTCCCCCACACACATACCTTAGACCCTCTCTCCCTTGCTAAGAGTACTCTGCCTATGAGCTGTTAAGAGATTGATACATCTGTGTCCGCCAAACAAAGAGCCACCTGCAAATGATGATCTTCTTTTTCTTTTCGATCCCAAACCCACAAGATATCCCAATCTGTGCTGCTGCCTTCCCTCCCTTCTTTGTACTTATACTTTCCCAGGGTGGTGATTTCACTTTGATTTTAAAGTTTTCCATCGGGGCCACTGGGTTACATTCAGAAGTGAATATGTCACTAAGAACGGGAAAGTAAAAATTCCATTAGACATTTTATAATGAAATTAACAACACCAGAGAATTGACATTTTAAACCACTTTCATGTCCAGCTTCTAGAAAATAGAAAAAGGCATGCTCATGGAGAAGAACTGGATTTCTGATGTGATGGGTAAAATCTCTGAATCAGATGAGAAGAGAATGGCTTTATTTTTATGGGGTGGGTAGTGGCAGAACTATTACCTCCTATACAGCAAACCCAGGTTCAACTCCCAGTCAGTGTACTTCATGAGCAGCCTCCACCCAGCCCTCAGCAGAGGCTTGCATGTTGCCATGATGCTGAACAAGTTTCAATAGAGTTTCCAGATGAAGAGTACCTACAAAGAAAAGCCTAACAATTCACCTCCAAAATTCCATCTAACAAATCCCTGTGGGTCACAAAAGGTCACCACGACCCAAGGCTAACTCACTAGCAGCTGACAACAACAACTGTTTCGGAGGGGCTTTTGTATTTGAAGAAGAAAGTAATTTTTAAAGAATTGGATGGAAGATTGTGTTACAATGACAGGGCCATATGAACTGGATCACCTCTCTAGGATTCAGGTAATAACAGAAGTTTATCTGCATTTTCTGGGAAGAAAGTATTTTCTGGAGAGGAACTTGTCACAGCAGAATGCTTTCTGGCCAAGAGTTGGGTTTTGGGGCTTGGGGTTGCTTTTGGAAAATACAGCAAGTCTGAAAATAGATTCACAATAAAAACGCCGCTTCAACCCAAACCAGAAATGCAACCACCAGATTCTGTAATGTGTTTGGATTGTACAGTATGCTGATGCCATCATCACAGCTCCCAGAGCATGAACGAGATCCGTACACACTCACACACACACAGGACGGCAAACTGCGAGCCAGAGCACACACTCACATGTACCCACGCACAAGACGTGCAGAAAGGCACAGCCAGTTACCCACCATCAGCACCACACACACGTGCACACACATTAGGAGCTGGAATGAGGAGACCCTTCTGTGGATGTAAAGTACATCTCTCCTCCAAACCGCTTCCCAGCGGTACATACCGGTGGTCAGGGCCCTAGAGGCCTCTCCCTTGCTGGCCCTCCTCGCTGTTCCCTTTCCTCGCCTCTAATTCTCACAAGCTGTTTTCTTTAGGCCTGGGGAACTGGCATACACTTTAATGGCTTTGTGGTCTGGGGGTTTTTCCCTGCTCTCTCATTATCCTCCTAGTTGGGGGTGCCAAGGGCCCAAGACCAAAGGAGAACACGCTGGGGAACCGCACAACCAGGACTGTTTGGGGGCAGAGAGAGGACAACCCACTCTTTTTGGAAAGCTTGATGTATGGAAAGTTCTGGATATCACACGTGTCAGCCCCTCCTGGCCCCTCCGGGTGTGAGAGCAATCACCTCAACACAGGCAACACAGCTCCGTGGTTTACCTCAGGCAGGTCACTCCAGGTTTCCAAACCTGCTTCCCCACCTATGAACTGCCAACATGTCACTTCCAACTCAGAGCCACTCAGTACAGGGTTTCTGACGAGCAGCTAGTGGATTTGAACCTCCAACTTTGTGGTTAGCAGTTCAGTACCGATCCACTAAACATTAAAAATGATGGTGCGTATAAAGTGCACAGTAAATGTTCGGCAAGTGCTATCAGTTGCTATCGCGCCAACTCTGACTCACGGCAACCCAAGAGTATCATGAGTTTTCAGTGGCTGAGTTTTCAGAAGCAGATTGCCATACCTTTCTTCCAAGACACCCCTAGGTGGATTCCAACCTTTGGTTAGCAGTTAAGCGTGTTAACTGTTGGTCCATGTGGGGGCTCCCCAGTAAGCATTATACACACTATTTTTCTAAACTGCCCGGTGGCTAGTCCACTCCCCTGTCCCCAGCCTGCAGTGATGACCCCTGCTTGGGTAACCTGACCCACTTTCCCAACCTGGGCACAGTCCCATTTCTTCCTACCAGCCCTTCCCCTCCTCTCAGAAGCCGCGCCCTCTCCAACTTCTGAGCCTCTTCTGTCTTCTCACTTGAATGGCCTTCCCCTGAACTTGTCAAATCGCTACCACCTCACACCAAGGCCAGCATATGCCAGCCTCCTCCAGGAAGGCTCCCTTCCCTCTAGGACCCTCAGCAACTCCTTGGGGTCCTGACAACCCCACTGGCTATTCCCCAGCCCCTTCCTGGAATATTAACCCACCTGAATTATGCCCTTCCACTAGGCACAGACTGAAATGAACTGGTCTGAATGACTCTCTGCCCCCTTGTGACACCCACCTTAAAAGAATCCGACTCTGAACTCACCAGTCCATGACACGAATCCTCATTTTCTCACACATAGAGGGAAACTGAGGAGGGAAGAGAGATGTATCAGGAGTGGGGCCTTAGGAGAAAGTGACACCCCACCCCCCACACCTCCCAGCAGTAGTCTGGGAAGCAGGCTGGACATTAGCAAAGAAAGGAGTGGGCTCTCACCATGGCAGGCAGCGTGATGCTCTGGTTCCACTGAGGGTTGGCCGTCTTCTCCAGGATCTTGTTGCAGAGCTAGAAGGCACAAAGGACAGGTGGGTCAAGGTCCACGAGAACTCTGGGATCCCTCAATGACCAAGGTCAACAGCCAGGGAAGAATGTTCCACCACGCTTGCCACCCTTCTGGGGCCCTTGGGGCCTGGTACAGTAGACTCAGACCCAGAACAATTTTTCAGAGGCCAAGGTCAATATTAGGTCAGACCCAGAGCTGGAAGGTTAGAGTATGTGGAGAGAGCTATATGCCACAGATCTTCTACCCTAACCTCACACTCCTGGTCGGAAGTCCCTTATCTCCCCTTATGGTCACAGCCCTAAATGTGGGTACCCGAAGTCCAGACTGACTTCCTCCGGGACCTTTATAGCTTGAGGCTCTTCCTTTGGCCCACCACCCTAGATCGTCCGCCCCACTGGAAGACTGAGTTCAAGGAGATGGTGGTGGGGAGTTGGAGGACCAGAACTAGGAGTCATGCACTGGCATCTGAGACAGAAACGCAAGTTCAGTGACAATAGAAACTCATAAGCCACAGTCTGTCTCAGATCAGCCCTGCTGTAAACACTGGGCTTTCCACAAACACCTAGCAGCAGGGCCAAAAGCTGAACCAAACCAGCAACTCATGTCTGTGCCCCTGGATCCAGAGGAGGGCACCAGGCCCCTGCCCCCACCCCACAGATCAGTTCAGATCTACAGCTCCTACGAGGTTTGCCATTCTGCATATAATAATAGCCAGAACACTATGGCTTAGCTCAGGGATGTCAGTTCCTCCATCAAAGGAGGATGCAACTTCCTAAAGGGCATTTTCAGAGCTAGCCCTTGCCCCCCTTCCCCATCCTCTCCTCTCTGTAATAAGAGCCAGGCAAAGACTGTGGGCAGGAATTTGGCCCTTGTGTTGGCAAAGGGGAATCAGGAAAGAAGAGAAACCAAGAAGCCAATGGAAAAATGGGCAAAGGTTGGAAAATGTATACAAAGATGCTCACCTCACTCATAATGAAAGAGACACAAATACAATGTCTCACCCATTAGATTCACAAGAACACAAGTCTGGCGGCCACGCTGGCAAGGCTATGGGGAAACTGTGCTCTCAGACTTTGCTGGTAGAAGAACGCAATGGCTGCACCTCTCCAGTAGGCACTTGACCACAATTTATCCAAAGTACAAATGCCTATACCCTTTCACCTATCAATTCTACATCCAGTTAGCTTACAGAACTCTTCGTACCAGTGCAGAATGACATGAGGTCACTCCCTACAATGTAGCTTGAAATGGTGAGGACTGGGAACAAACCACATGACCATCAATAGGGGACGGGCTAACTAAATCATGGTCCATCCACAGTGAAATACTGGCTGATGGCAGTTGTGTATGCTCAAGTCAGTTCTGACTCATAACAATCCTCTACAGGGTTTGCAAGGCTGTAAATCCTTATGGGAGCAGAAAGCCTCATCTTTCTCCCTAAGAGTGGATGGTAGATTAGAACTGCTGACCTTGCAGTTAGTATAACGTACTACTCCACCAGGGCTCCCAATGAAGTATTTGTTTTGTTATTGTTAAGTGTCGTTGAGTTGGTTCCAACTCATAGCGACCCTATATAGGATTTCTGAGGAGCGGCTGATGAGCTTGAACTGCAACCTTGTAGTTCAAACAACTTTGCATTCCAGCGCACTAACCCACAGCGCCACACCAGGACTCCAAATAATAGTTATGGGCCGTGGAGTCAGTTCTGACTCATCGCAACTCTGTATACGGTTTCTGGGGCTGTAAATCTTTTATAGGAGCAGAAAGCCTCATCTTTCGCCTGCGAATGAGGACTCACTTTACATATTGATAATGAAACCAACTCCAAGTTAAATTACTAAGTGAAAAAAAAACAAGATGCAAGCAGTGACTATGATATGCTGACATGTGTGGTGCTGTAGGGTAAGCCCTGAACTGCTAACCATAAAGTCCGTGGTTCAAACCCACCAGCTATTCCTCAAAAACTCTATACAGGGTCACTATGAGTCAGAACTGACTTGACAGCACACACATGTTTTAAAATGGTGAAAAATAAAAATCTAGAGTCATATTTTCTTATATGTGTATTAAGAAGCCACAATGATACAATAAAAAAAAAAAACTAGTAGTGGCTTTTTTTTGTAGGAGAAGAAATGAATGGATGGAATGTTGGGTAAAGGGAGAGTTTTCAAGATCCATAGATAGGCAGGCAGGTAGACAGACATATAGACATAAAAACATAATAAATATCTGTTGCTGTTGTTTAGGTTAAGTGCCACTGAGTCAGTTCTGACTCACAGCAACCCTAAAGAGGGTTTCCAAGGAACAGCTGGTGAGTCTCAACTGTGACCTTGAGGTTTGCAGTCCAGTGTTTCTCCTAGAGTGCCACACCATGATGCCAATAAATATATAACTAATAAAAAGCACTGTGGCTCTGAAGGATAAGCAACCAGACTGTGAACCACAAGGATGGTGGTTCAAACCCACCAGCCACTCCACAGGAGAAAGGTGAGGCATTCTGCTCCTGCCAAGCAAGGATTTACAGCCTCAGAAACACTACAAAAGGTCGCTATGAGTTGAAACAAAATCAATGACACTTAACAACAACAACAACAATATATAATAAATGTATTGTGTTGTTGTTAAGTGTTGTCAAGTTGGATCCAACTCATAGTGACCCCGTATAAGGTTTCTGAGGAGCGGCTGGTGGGTTTGAACTATAGATCTTGTCATTAGCAGTCCAGTGCTAATCCTACAGCACCGCACCAGGGTTACTTAATCCAAAACTAGATAAACAACTTTTTTTTAATCCTAAAGTCATTAACAACTTGAAAACAAAAGGAAAAGAAAGAATTCTTGAAGTCAATACTGCTGAGAGGCCCTCCCTGGAACAAGAAGCAATGCCACTGGGCCTCATTCAGACCTAGGGCAGGACCACTGTAACAAGTTAAATATGACCAGAAGGAACAACGAAGTGTACATACACACTCACCCTTCAATACCCTTAGTTGTTGTGCCATGGAATTGGTTCTGACTCACAGCAACTCTGTATAGGGTTTCCAAGCAGCAGCTGATGGGTTTGAACCACTGGCCTTGTGGTTAACAGTCCAGTGCTTGCTTATTCTACTGTGCCATGCCAGGACTCCAATCCCCTTAGGAACTTGGCCAAATTAGATATGGTTGACATCTTAGACAGTGGCACCACCAAGCGTCCACAGCAGGAAATGCAAAGAGGGCCACATTGGGATGGGTGGGCACAGAGAACCAAATCCCAGGGCTCTTCTGATTAAAGTATAATGAGAAAAAGGGACACAGAGGCAAGCTGAGAGAGGGACAGGCAGAAGGGGCCACAAGAAGAGCAGAGAGAGTGGGGAAGGGAACATGAGGACTGGGGGAGGGTCTCAGTGGCATCTTTTAACCCCCACTGGTAGCATAGTGGTTACGAATTAGGTGGTTATCTTCTGGGTCACCAGTTCGAAACTACCAGCTGTTCCGTGGGAGAAAGATGAGGCTTTCTGCTCCCATAAAGATTTACAGCCTCGGAAACCCTGTGCAAGGTCGCTATGAGTCAGAACCAACTGACAGCACATAACAACAACAACTTCCTTTTAGGAAGAGACCCAAGCCATGGTATTGTCAGTAACCTCATATGTATGCAAAAGCTGTACAGTGAATAAGGAAGACTGTAGAAGAAATAATGCTTTTGAGAGAACAAATAAGATGGCGGATCGATTGGAAATGTAGTAAAGAGCTCTGCCAACAACAGCACAGAATACCTGACCAAGAAGGCTCACGGGATGGTCCCAGTACTCTGAACCACATATAGAGGAATATTTAGAAGGTTGGAAGGCTTACAGCTGGGGAATTTGTGGCAGAAGCAAGAAATCCATTGCTTTCTAATTCGAGACGCTCAGCTGCTTGAGGAGCCGCCATCTTGGGTGACACCAAGTGGGGGAAGGATCGGAGCTGCAACAGATGCCTGGCAGAACCACAGAGATAAAGGTGTGGGCATTATTTTCTCTTGGTAGCTGTTCATTGGTCCCTTGCACCTCCATTCTGGTGACTATAGGGGTGCCTGAGCTAGTGGGCACCCCAGCCCCATCCTCGGAGGGTTCTACTACACATGTTAACAGAGCTCCTTGAAATTTAAAGAGACAGTTTCCAATTAAAACCAAATGGCCACAGCCGGCCCTGAACTGTTTACAACTAGAAAAAAGCCCTGAATGGGAATTGTGGAGCAGGACAAGCAGACAAAAGAGGAAATAGGTCGAAAATTAAATCCTAAGTTACGTCAAAACAACCAACAGTGGTATCTTGAAATTTCTCAAGAAGAAGAGTGAAAAGGGAGGCCCATTTCCTGATCACATCTACCTGGACGCAAACAGAAAGCATAAAAAAATACCAAAATACATACCTATCTAAGTATTAATGCCACAGATAACCCCTGAAGATGCCCAAAAAACAGAAGCAGATGACCATATCTGCACATATCCAGAAATGAGATAAAATGACTGAGGCAAATGAGCTGAAAGCAGACCTACACTCCATACTGGAAGATGGGCAGGCTTTGGAAATGCCAGAGAAGGAATTCAAAAAATGATTATAAAATGTATCAAAACACTATACATTGGAGTTGAGAAAAATAAGGAAGAAGTCAGGAAAGTGCTACAGGAACAATCAAATAAGATAGATA